ACTTTCTTTTTAAATTTTGCAGTTATTTGTTTTCAAATTGAATTGAAAGCATATTTTGGACACTTTAAGGCCTATGATCATCAAACTTTGTCAGTTGATGGGGTCCTTGAACAACATCAACTTGAAAGTAGGTCACCGTGACCTACTTTTTGAACTTGATGACTTATCCTTTTTAAAACATTTAATCCCATTATTTCAGACACTGAGAGGTTTAGAATCATCAGATCTTGTAAGTTGATGCACCTTGGGACCTTAAATCATATTTATAAAAAAGTAGGTCACCTTACCTACTTTTTAGGTCACCTGAGTCACTCAGGTGACCTATTGCTATCAGTTTTCCTCGTTCGTCGTACGTCGTTTGTGGTTCGTCATCAATCGGTCGTAAACTTTTGAACATTTTCAGCTTCTTCTCTGGAACTGCTGCGCAAATTTCAACCAAATTTAGTATACAGCATCTATGGGTGAAAGGGAACAATAATTGTGAAATTCATGGCCCCTGCCCCCCTGGGGCCTGAGGGGTGGGGCTAAAACCACCAAAATTAATGAAATCTTTAAAAATCTTCTTCTTTACTCCTGGACATCTAGCAGTCAAACTGCTGGCATCATAATAATAAGCATTGAGTCCTCTACCAAAATTGTGAAATTCATGGCCCGGGGGTCATGGGTTCTAGTGCTAGGGCGGGGCTAAATAAGTATATAGTGAAAATGCATTATTTCTTTGAAAATCTTCTTCTCTGCTCCTGGGTATTAAATAAACTAACTACGTGCATAGTTATGATGAGCAAGAGTGCCTCTACCAAAATTGTGAATTTTATGGCCCCAGGGTCAGGGGTTCTGGTGTTAGGGGGGGCTCTATAGATTATTAGTGAAAAGACATGAATTCTTTGAAAATCTTCTCTGCTCCTGGGTATTAAATAAACTTACTAAGTGCATAGTTATGATGAGCAAGAGTGCCTCTACCAAAATTGTGAATTTTATGGCCCCAGGGTCAGGGGTTCTGGTATAAGGGGGGTGGGGGTGGGCTCTTTAGATTACTGTAAACCAACTTTTATTCGCGTGCGAGAAATTTTCGCGAAGTTCGCGACAGCCTCGTCATCGCGAATATTTCTCGCCGCGAACCGGTACTTAACGTTTCTCTGTCTATTTAAAACAGATCGAAAAAGGCTTGATCGCGAAAATTAGTCGTCGCTAACTAGTTTACCCCTGGTAAATCGCGAAATAAAGTCGTCGCGAATAAAAGTTGGTTTACAGTATATAGTGAAAATACATGAATTTTTTGAAAATCTTCTTCTCTGCTCCTGGGTATTAAATAAACTAACTAAGTGCATAGTTATGATGAGCAAGAGTGCCTCTACCAAAATTGAGTATTTTATGGCCCCAGGTTCAGGGGTTCTGGTGTTAGGGGGGGGGCTCTATAGATTATATAGTGCAAATACATGAATTCTTTGAAAATCTTCTTCTCTGCTCCTGAGTATTAAATAAACTTACTAAGTGTATAGTTATGATGAGCAAGAGTGCCTCTACCAAAATTATGGCCCCAGGGTCAGGGGTTCTGGTGTTAGGGCAGGGCTCTATTGATTATATATTGAAAATACATGAATTCTTTGAAAAAAAAAATTTCTGTTCCTAGGAATGAAATAAACTAATTACATAGTTATGATGAGCAAGAATACCTCTACCAAAATTGTGAATTTTATGGCCCTAGGGTCAGGGGTTCTAATGACAGGTGGGGCTCTATTGATTATATAGTGAAAATACATTAAATCTATGGAAGTTTTGGTATAAAGCAGATGAACTACCTATATAGCTATGATGAGCAAGGGCCTAATCTTCCAGAATTGTGAATTTCAAGGCCCCAGGGTCAAGGGTACCATAAAGGAGGGGGGACTGTACTTATATACTGAAACTGGATGAATTGTTTGAAATCTGCTTCTTGGTATTAATCTAATATTTTTGAAAAGCTAGGATGCCTTTTAAAGAATTGTGCAATGTGTGGATCTAGGCCTAAGGGTCAGGGGTTCATGTGTGATTGGGACATTACTGATCATGCTGAATATTACTGATTACTTGAAATGCATTTTTTGTTCCCCTACCCTGCCTATGGGTATTAAGTAAACAAACTAAGCAACTGCTAAGTGTATGTTATGATGATCAATGGTGCCTCTTTCAAAATTGTGAATGCCATAACATCTGGATTAAAACATGAATCAAATTCAATCACTGGAAAGTTGTTGCATAATGCTCAGGTGACCTATAAGGCCCATGGGCCTCTTGTTGAATTTTGCTGGCATTTGTTTTTAAATTGTTTAAAATGCATATTTTGATTACCTTGAGACCTATGATCATCAAACTTAGTCAGTAGATGCATCTCAGGACTTCAAAAAATGTGGACCAAAATGTAGGTCGCAATGACCTACTTTTAACATTTAGTGGCTATATTTAAGTATCTTGGGTATTTATTGGCTTATAATCATCAAACTTTGTGAGTTGATGCATCTTGGGTTTTCAGAGAGTTACGACCAAAAAATAGGTCATGATGACCTACTTTTGGCAATTTATGGCTTTATTTAAGTATAACTCTCGATACCTCGAAGTCCGCGGGACCGAGAGATCAAGAGTTCCAGATTTCAAGTATCCGGAATTTTCCGGGTTTGTTGACTGGTTTTGAAATTAGTCTTACCGGATGTAATAATTGTCATTGCTAACATTTTACAAGTGGTGTTTATAAAACAACGGTATGTTTTCGTATTGTAGATAAATATTTATTAAATTGAGTAAATAAAAAATGTACTTCTTCACTTGATGTTTATTTACTTATTCTTTTTTTATACGGACATTAAACTACACATTCGTTAAATGAAAACGACATTTTACGGCATCGTACACCGCATTGACTACTTCAATCATGATCATTAAACATTGAACAAAGTTCTGTAAGTATTTATGCAACAATAGTCGTAATATTGACATTGTTTTCATATTTCGTTAAACTTTGACACTGACTCGAAAAAAAATTAATAAACTATTTTGTTTTTCGTCTTGTATTCCATTTACTATTTTTCATTGACACCGCTTTTCCGAATTATCGTAAGACAGTTGATGATAATTATTTTAATAGCATATAGGCAACATGATTAATTATAAATCAATTATCACCTAGCAGTATAAGTGTCACCTGAATAAGCATCCCGTTTCTCGAGAAGCGTCTTCTGCCTGGGGCTATTTAAATGTCCAGGTAAAGTTGCCAATTATGTAACATTGTATACACAAAGCTACTTCGAGGTTTCAAGGGTAGATTCCAATAGAATATGCATAGCGGGACTGCATTTTGTCTTCGAGGGATCAAGGGTTTTGAGAGATCAAGAGTTCGAGAAATCAAGAGTAAATTTGCTTAGTTATTTAAGGAAAAAAATCAGGACCGGAGAGGCGGAGACTCACTTCGAGCGATCAAGAACTTTGAGAGATCGAAGTTCGAGCCATTAAGAGTTACCTGTATCTCCGGTACTTATTGGCTTAGAATCATCAAACTTTGTCAATTGAAGCATCTTGGGTTTTCGGAGAGTGACGTCCAAAAAGTAGGTCACAATGACCTACTTTTGACATTTTACGGCTATATTTAAGTATTTTAAGTATTTATTGACTTAGAATCATCAAACTTTTTGAGTTGATGCATCTTGAGTTTTCGGAGAGTGACGACCAAAAAGTAGATAATGGTGACCTACTTTTGGCAATTTAAGGCCTTATTTAAGTATCTCTGGTACTTATTGGCTTAATATCATCAAAATTTGTCAGTTGAACCATATTGGGTTTACAGAGAATTACGTCCAAAACGTAGGTCACGATGACCTACTTTTGACATTTTATGGTTAAATTTAAGTATCTTATGTATTTATTGGATTAGAATCATCAAACTTTGTGAGTTGATGCACCTTCTGTTTTCGTAGAGTGACGTCCAAAAAGTAGGTCACGGTACCTACTTTTGACCATTTATGGCTTTATTTAAGTATCTCTGGTATTTATTGGTTTAGTATCATCAAACTTTGTCAGTTGAATTGATGCAACTTGGATTTTCAGAGAATGATGTCCAAAAAGTAGGTCACTGTGACCTACTTTTGACATTTTATGGATTTATTTAAGTTTCTCTATTTATTGGTTTAGAATCATCAAACTTTGTAAGTTGATGCATCTTGGATTTTCAGAGAATATCGATCAAAAAGTAGGTCACGGTGACCTACTTTTGAATATTTCAGATACTTATTGGCTCACAATCATCAAACTTTGTCAGTTAATGCATCTTGGGTTTTCAGAGAATGTTGACCAAAAAGTGTCACAGTAACTACTTTTGACATTTTATGGCTTTATTTAAGTATCTCTGGCATTTATATGTTTAGAATCATCAAACTTTGTTACTTGTTGCATCTTGGGTTTACAGAGAATGTCGACCCAAAAGTAGGTCACAACCTACTTTTGAATATGTCAGGTATTTATTGGCTTTGAATCATCAATCTTTGTCAGTTGATGTATTGGGTTTTCGAAAATCATCTACTAAAAATTAGGTCACAGTAACCTACTTTTGACATTTTATTGAATCATCAACCCTTGTCAGTTGATGCATATTTGGTTTTCAGAAAATGTAGACAAAAAAAGTTGGTCACAGTGACCTACTTTTAAATATATTTCAAATACTTATTGGCTTAGAATCTTCAATCTTTGTCTATTTTTGCATCTTGAGTCCTCAGAAAAACTCAATCTTAAAGTATGTAAATGTGGCCTACTTATGTTTTTTTCATATAGCTTTATTAAAATATCTTCAGTCCTAATTGGCTAAGAATCATCAAACTTTGTCAGTTGATGCAAGTTGGGTCTTAGGATACTTAGGGTTAGAGGCTTCAAATAGAAGTGATAGATTGTACAATTATCAGAAGAGCGATTCAAGGCCCTTGGGCCTCTTGTTACTTCATGCATTAAAATGGGCTTTTAATTTTCATTGTTTTGCTTTGCAGTCATTCAAATATTAAAAATCCTATCTCACTTGTGAAATATCATTGAATAATTACATTTTCAATTATAAATGGAATAAATGAAAGATACACAATTGTCACAAACTTGAAGAGAAAAATACAGTAGCACACTATTGTGTGTTCATTTATTGAAGATATTTAAATACTTGAACTGTATTGTTCAAATTATCTCCCACATAAAGCTGGTACTTATCATCCACACATACACTAATGGGAGCAGATACTTGTTTTGGTGTGAGTAGTAGAGACAAGAATTGGCCATCCTGATCAAGTAGGTGAATATTCAGCAGATAACACACCAGTATGTGACCGAGGACATCAGTACAGATTCCATAAGGATAGAACCCTGACCCCTGTGCCCTGTAAGAGAATCTGTGTTGTCCTGATTTATTTACCACCACTACTGCCGCTTTACTGAGGTCTGATGTACAGATATCTCCATTGATGTTTTCTGTAATGTAAATTGGATTTCTATACAGTTCCTGTCCTTTGTTAACCCTCTGTATGTTCTGTATTTCTATTCCTTTCTTGTTGTACCGAGTGACTTTAGCCTCTCCACCCTTCCCCATCCCCACCAGTAAGTCTCCATTGATGCGGGAGGAGTATATGCTGAGTGGTACCCAGTCTTCTGTTTTTATGAATTTAGTGATATTGTTGTCTGGTGTGATCCTATTAATGACTTTCGTGTACATGTTTGTAAAGATCAGATCGCCATCCTGTGTCACTGTGTGGTAACCCTCATATTCACCGCTAGTTTTTATTATCTGTATCTCATTCCCCTGTAGATCTGTTTGGACAAGGAAACAATCACCATCACTGAACCAAAGTCTACCTGACTGATCTAGAGACATATGCCACACACCGTTAAGATATGGTACGTTGAACCTCCTGAGCTCAGTGACAGAGGAAGATAGAGACAGTGTTTGTTTCACACTAGATGTTGTTTTACTGTCTTTCATTACTTGATAGCTTGATGGTTTCGGATTTGATTTGGGAGGTTTTGCTTTCAGAGGCTGTACTTTTCTCATCTCTCCATTTTTGTTTGGAAAGGTTACTTTCCCAAGTAATTTGGCAATATTCTCTTTGCTGTATTTTCCAGCAGTAAATACAGGCATCACTGGATTTGTTGTTTCTGGTAAGGGTTGGATTTGTATGTCCTCTGCAGTTAAGAGTTTTGAAGGTTTCAAAGAGGACAAAAAAACATGGAACTTTTTATCCAGGTCATTGAGATAAGTAATATACTTTTCAATGGTTGTATCTTGGTTATTTAATTTTTCCAGTAATGAAATTTCTATTTTGTTTACTTCATCAATATTCTCGGAAGCCACTTTATCCACCAGACTTTTAAGGGACTCGGCTTCAGCCTTCATAGAGATTCTTATGCTGTCCATTATCTTCTTGATTTCTTTGGCGTCTCCATTAATTTCTCTCTGCAAATCTTTAGATGTTGGCAGGAAATACTCATGAATTTTTGCAATTTCTCCTTGACAATGGGAAAAATTCTCTGTGTAAATTGATTCAAGATCAGTGAATGTGTGACCTCTATGTTCTTGTGTGGCAGTGCATTTGGAACAAATTGGGATTTTACATTCATCACAAAGAAGCTCTTTATCCTTGGTGGGGTGGATCTTGCATTTTTCTTTGGGTAGTTGTCGTTTCCGTAGTTGGTATAGGACTACCTCATGGCTCTTTGTCTCTGGACTTCTTTGATGTTCATCCCTGCATTGTTTACATAATCTTGTATGACAAATATTGCAGTAAAATTCACAGTTTCTCTCACAATCTTCAATGTCACACTCAAAAAAGTGATGAGGTGTACCTGGTAATTGTGCTTTTGACAGGGCCATCTGAAAGAGTGTTTAAGTTATTATCACTTTGGAAAATTTAATGCTGTCCAGAAGGAAAGACTTACCGGTATTCAAATGTTTGTTCCTTACTTGTAATTCTGTTGACTTGAAGAGATTTCCAGTGAATCATTAAAAGCATACAGTGAGAGTATTTTAAAGAGGATATTTGTTCAGAGACATACTGTAAATTTATTATAAGTATTGAAATGAGTCAACTTATTGAGATTTTACAACAAATAAAGACTCTCAGTTCATAAAAACTCTTTCATCTTTATGAAAGTATAAATTGATCATTGAAGCATTACAATCATTTAACTTACTGTTTATCTCCAAGGTGACTTTAGTGATCAGCCATTTTGATCCAGCCATAAGAACGAATTTACACCTGTGAATTTAAAGCAAGGCTGTAATTTACTTCCTGGTTGTTGATTAATATAGATTTAAATGTCTATTGTGACACAAAGAAAGAGGTTCAGAGACAGTAATAGATAATAGATACAGTGGAACCTGATACCTTATGTCGCTTCAAAATCACAAATACAAGGCTATTTACAATACATAATTAAAGAATGTCTTGTAATTTTTTCAAAGTATCTGATTGTAACTACCTATATGTATAAATTCAAGTTGGTGGCAAATTCAGTCTTTGAGGCATTTTTAAGTCTGACATGTATCTCAGTAACTTCAGGGAAGTTGCCAAACATTTTTCATAAATAGCCGTATGATATGCCTTTCTGCAAACTATACTGACTTGATAAAATTAGACCTTGGTTTATATGGTCTCATCTGAAGGACTGTTGATTTGAGCCCATAATGTAACAATCAACTCATTACTGTGGACTATAAAGCAGACAGCAGGTGCTCTAACCACTGCCCCACATGGACAACCATCTGCTTTGACAGGAATGGATATTTACTTTTGATTGTATGATTTTTTTATGATGTTTCTTAGGTAAAGATTGAGTGATTCTTTTTGGTATTTTGTAGATATTTTGCTACAGCAGCAGTGGAGAGTGGCCACAGCTACAATGGATTTGAACTAAACACCACAGCCACTCAGTTTGTGGTGAACCTGACCCTTACTGACCGGGGACTTGAACAGTTTGAGGAAGTTCTACTGACAGTTTTCCAGTACGTACACTTACTGAAGAACAAAGGACCACAGAAGCAGTACTTTGATGAGATGAAGATAGTGGAGGAAACCAAATTTAGATTTAAAGAAAAGGTAGTTGTTTTAGACAGGCAAGGAAGGAGTAGGCATTGTAGTCAGGTAATGAATAGATGCTTAATTATAAAAAAAGAAGAGTATGAACAAGGTAAACAAAAAATTAGATGTTGTAGTCAGTTCAAGTTAAGACAGATGTATGAAGTAAAGAAAAGGTAAGTGTTTTAGTTTTGTAAAAAAAAAGTTGTTTGCAGTATTCTTTTCAGGAATATAAATATGTCCCATTTTGCTTTGGATTTTGGAATGAAAATTTTTTTGTTATGGTTTTAGGGAGATGCAATGGATTATGTAGAGAAAGTCTCAGAAAACATGCAGATATTCTCCCCAGAAGATGTTCTAACTGGCAGAGATTTAATGTATGAATATGACCCAGAGGTATGTCTAGTAAATACAGAATTAACTTGACGAAATTCAATAAATGTTAAGAATTTATTTTTTAGGGTTTTTAAATTTTTTCAGCTGATTGTTAAGTGTTTGGCAGATCTAAGGGCAGACAACTGTTGTATTTTCCTGTCATCCAAACAATTGTCAGATAAATGTGACAGACAGGATATCAAATGGAGCCCTGTAAAGTACGGAGTGGCAGAAATCAAACCGGAGTGGATTCAAAGATGGCAAGGTGGTATTCAGAGCATGAATGCACTGTTTACTAATTTCATAAAACCATTAGACTACATAGAAACAAAAGAAATGAATTTTTATGTAAATCTGTTAGACCTAGATTTCATCAAGTTATGAGCCTTGAATTTTTGTTCACTTTAGGCAAGACTTAAAACTAAAACTTAATGGCTGTATGCATTTTCTTTCAGATCCACCTAAAAATCCTGACCTTTGCTTACCAACACCAAACAAATCAATAGGTATGTAATATGTAGTGATGGAGTTATATTGTAAATCATGTTATTCTTGGTAACTATTTAAAATTAGAACTTGAATTCTTATTTACACGAGACTTGGATATCAGCTTACTAAAGAATACACTTTTAATATTTTGTATATTCCTGTGTACGACCGAGTGAGTGAGTGATATTCCTGTGTATGTTAATTTGTTCATTCTATTTTACAGCTACAGATTTCACAATAGCAGAGGTGGAAGCAAAGTATTGTACAAAGGTAGGACTTGTTCATGGCTTATTTTTTTGTTCAAAATTTAAAATAAGCTCTTGATTCAAATTAATATGTGTGATTATTCTTGTACAATGTACATGTATATAATTGGAAGGTTTTCTCAATTCAGCATCCTATCACTCTCTCAGAAAATGAGTTGTGTACATTGTACTACAAGAAGGATATGAAATTTAAAGTGCCAAAAGGTAAATGGTTCACTCCTAAAAAAGAGAGATATTCAGATAATGCATCACGATACTAAATTAACCAATTTCAGTATCTTTAAGAAATAAGTTTTACTACATTTTGTATAATGATGGCTAAAGCTTCATGGCTTACAGTTGAAACTTCTTTTGTAGCTTATGTGTGTGTGCAGTTGATGTCACCTGTAGCCAGCCAATCAGTGAAGAGGTAAGAATAACTTATCTGTACTTTCAGTTGATATCACTAATAACTAGCCAATCAATGAAAAGGCTAGAATAGGTTAATATGTGTATGTTCAGTTGATGTCACCAGTGGCCAACCAATCAGTGAAGAGTTAAGAATACCCTAATTTTGCTGAATACTTTACATACTGTACATATATAGACAAGTGTGATGAGTAATTGTATTAATGGTATTTCTGAAGCCAAGGACTGCTGAAAATATTTAAGGCTGTGATGAACCATAAATTGGATGCCCCTACATATCCTGCTATCATGGCTGGCTTTGAGTAAGTTATCTCCTGATTCTGACCTTGAGAATTTGTTCTAGTACTACATCCATTGTCATAAAATATATATCTGTGTATCATAGTAGACTAATTCCTTTCCTGATTAAAATTGTTTAAATTTTCAGCTACTCAATCAGTGTGGATGATACAGGTCTTAAATTCAAAGTGAATGGATTCAACCAGAAATTACCTGTAAGAATTTTTTTCAAGCTGTGAAATCAAAATTCTTTTCGTTTTTTAATCTCCTTTTGTGGATGGACCCCCACTATAGGCCTGCCCCTGAAATATACAGTGTAATTGACAGTCTGACCAATGAGGATCTTCGACACTTCCTGACAGAGTTCAGACAGAGTATAAAAGCTGACGTCCTAGTGGTCGGCAATGTTACACCCAATGTAAATCTGAGAAAGATAAAGTTGACAAACAGTTAAAAACATCTCTAGTTTTGCCTGTTTAAAAAGAAATGCACTATGAAAATTAAAATATTTTTTTATTTACTGGCCAAGACTACTGTTAAAGACAGTATCAAGGTATCTCCATTCCTGTCAATGGTTTAAGATTTTTGGGTGTGTCCAAACTTTTCTTTTGTCCCTTTAATTGATAATGTAATTTTAATCCTATTTTGCAGGAGGCTACTTCGTATAAAGAGAGGGTGGAATCAAAATTATATGGAAAAGTGGAATCTTCTAAAATGTACAGGGTAAGTAGAAATATGACAGGCAAGGAATAAATTTGTATGTCTAAAGAACAAGATGAAAGAGAAAAAGATCTCTGTTAAACATGTAAAATAATGTTATATCCAAAATCTTGTATACATGGCTAAAACTTGTAAATAATTACATGGTCAATAATGTAAAAGTAATATGCACTATAAGATTGAGTTCAAATTATGTCTAGCATCTTTATTCAGCTGGAAAGTTTTACATTTTTTATATGTACATGTATTTGTAGAGAAGATTGTACCAGATTCCTAAACAGTGGAGTTACTGCCAGACAAACAGCTTTAACATGGAGGACGCCAACTCCAGCATCACAGTGTACCTCCAGTCTGACCCCGGGGATATCAGGTCAACCGTCATCAACGAACTCCTAGACGTAAGTGAATCATCAAAAAAATCTTAGATATAAGTGGCATATGGTTCAGTCAAAACCGTCATCAATGAACTCTTACATGTAAGTGACATAAGGTTCAGTCAAAACCATCATCAACAAACTCTTAGATGTAAGTGGTGTTGTGAGATGTGTATTGTTTCATCATGTATATTATTAGTAACATTAAGTTTCTTGAACATTCCAGAGTGGTCAATATGTTTGGTCATTTTTTTCTAGAACATTCTTGAACTTTGTTTATGTCTAGAACTTTCCAGGAATATCATGTATTTACAATTTCTAGAATATTCTAGATTTATATTACTGTATATAAATACCCTGTCAATTCGATGCATAGATAAATTGTCGTATAAGCATCATTGAGGTATTACTGGGATATAATTTCACTGGGACATTGTGTGCAGCAACGGACACTCTGATGTATGTATTTTTAGATTTTTGCTAAGTTTGTACTTAATGATTTGTATATTACTGTAAATAAATTATTGTTAAGTTTAAACTGTGTGATTGATCTTTGCTGGCATTTAGGGTTATTCTGACCCATAACAGAATTGGGGGCTCGTCCGGGATAAAGAATTTTTTTTTTTTTTCATTTTTGCAGTTTATTGTCAGAATTTTGTTTATTGAACCGTTAAATTTGACTATAAGCCAGCAAAACTCAACATGGTATTTTCGGTCACAGACTTTCTTAGTTCACCAAGTGTTCAGGTTTTTGATACGTTAAAAAAGGATGACTTGATCGCATTAGGTTTGCATTTTGGGTTAGATGTTAAATCCTCTCAGAGAAAGCAAGACATTAGAATTAAGGTTGCAAACAAACTAGTAGAAGAAAACATCTTTGAAAAATATGATCTTCCAGAATATACAGTTAAATCAGAATTAGGCTCTTACAAAATGGCAGAATATCAGTTTCAATTAGAGTTAGAGAAAATGCGATTAGAAAGAGAAAAATTAGAAAGAGAAGAACGAGAGCGTGAATGAAAATTTGAATTAGACAAATTAGAAAGAGAAGAACGAGAGCGTGAACGAAAATTTGAATTAGACAAATTAGAAAGACAAGAGCACTTTGAGTTAGAGAAATTAAGATTACAGCACCAACTAGAACCGTCATTTGTCAAGAATGAATTTGACGCAGCAAAAAACATTAGGTTAGTTCCGAAATTTCAAGAAAAATCTGTAGAAAAATATTTTCCCCAATTCGAAAAAGT